TTCTTCCTGTACTCCTTCATAGAATCTATCAATTTCTTCCTGTTTTGCTTCTGTGGTTGGTGCATATACTTGAATTATGGTGATGTTTATAGGTTTACCATGATATTCATAGGTTTACCAGACACAGTCTCCATGGGAGTGTGTTCCACTATCGAACAGCCCTTACTGTCAGGAACTTCCTCCTAATGTTTAGGTGGAATCTCTTAACTATTGCTTGAATTCATTGTTCCGGATCCTATTTTATGGATACCCAGAACATACCCAGCTCCCTGTCTCTCCTCATAGGGCTTTATGGTTTCCAGACCCTTCAGCATTGTGGTTGCCCTCCTCTGGACACACTCCAGCTTGTCCACATCCTTTTTGAATTGTAATGCCCAGAGCTGGATGCAGGATTTTAGGACCCTGATGCAGACTCTGACACCGACACTGACATCTCAGAGAAGTAACAGAGCGACAGGGAGAGTTCCCGGTGCCAGAGATGGAGAGTGAGACACACACACACACACACACCCCATCAGCAGCCATGGCCAGACACAGACACAAATGAAGAGTATGCTCCCTAGCACAGCTGTTGAGAGAAGGAGGGTTGAGGCACTCCAAACATTGGTATGTCAAATGCTCACAACCCCTCAGAGAGGATGCCAGACCAAACGTACTGACAACTGAATTTGGTGGTGGAAGTAAAACTCGTGCTTCCTGTGTTCCTGTTCATGATGCCTGATAGCCTTAAACCTTGCTTTTGGGTCTCCCTTTGGACTGTCAGCTGGATTTATTGCTGGACTGTCTATGACCTGGACTGAACTCCCTTTGCTGCTTCCATCTTCTTGCTGGTGAGCCACAACTTGGCTCTTGGTATCTATGTCTTCCTGCTTCCCTTTCAGGGAGACCCAAACAGGCCAAGGACTTTTCTGACCTCCGATGCAGACAGAAGGCCCCAGTCCTTGCAGAGTGGTCAAACAGCCTCCGGACAGTTCATATGAGGAAAGACTTAGGGAGATGCTGGGTGCGTTTATCCTGGAGAAGAGGTGGTTAAGAAGTGATATGATAGCCCTGTTTAAATATTTCAAGGGAGGTCATATTGAGGATGGAGAAAGCTTGTGGTCCAGAGAATAGGACAAGGAACAATGGATGGAAGCTACAGGAAAAGAGATTCCACTTCCTAAACATTAGGAGGAACTTCTTGACAGTAGGAGCTGTTTGACAGTGGAAGACACTCCCTCAATGGAGATTTTGGTGGAGTCTCCTTCTTTGGAGGTCTTTAAACACAGGCTGGATGGCCATCTCTCGGAGGTGCTTTGATTGAGAGTTCCTGCATGGCAGAATGGGGTTGGACTGCATGGCCCTTGGGGTCTCTTCAAACTTTATGAATCTATGATTCTATGATTCATTAGCAACCCTGGCTGCCCATCAGTTTTTCAGAAGGTGTCAGTTCCTTGAACACAACAGGGATTATATGAGTATGTGCACAAGTATTTATTTCTTGAGGATATGACCCTGGATTTTCCTTTGGCCATATTTTAAATCCTTTTATTATGACAAAGAGAAAGTAGGAGAATATAGAGCACAGCCTGTGCAGTGAGATACCTGACAACACACTGATAAATGTGATTTAGAGAGCCAGTGTTGCGTAGTGGTTTGAGCATTGGACTAGGACTCTGGAGAACAGGGTTTGAATCCCTGCTCAGATATAGAGATCCCCTGGGTTACTTTGGGCAAGTCACACTCTCTCAGCCTGAGGAGAAGGCAGTGGCAAAACCCCTCTGAAGAAACTTGCCAAGAAAACCTGATGATGGATTCACCTCCTTAGGGTTGCCATAAGTTGGAAACAACTCGAAGGCACACAGCAACGTCAACAACAACAAATGTGATTTGCAGTCTACACATAGAGATATACTCCCTTGCAATTGGAAAGCATGGCTTTTCTCCTACCCCAACCTTAAATGACTGTGGTTGCATTCTTTAAAAAGAAAAAGAAGATCGCATAAGGTAGCAAAATCCTACACAAAATATTTATCGTCATTGTGTGCCTCCAAGACTTTTCTGACTTATGGCGACCCTATCACACGATTTTCTTGGCAAGATTTCATCAGAGAGGCTCTCCCATTGTCATCCTCTGAGGAGGCCGAGAGAGTGTGACTTGCCCAAGGTCACCCAGGGGCTTTCAGTGGAGATTTGAATGGCCTCCCAGAGTCCTGGTCCAATACTCAAACCACCACATCATGACGGTTCTCTGGGAACTTATGTGTGCATCAAAAGCCAGGTATTGTTTACACACACACACTCACGCATTGTGCAAGAAAGAAAGAAAGAAAGAAAAATTGCATTTACCATTGCTTTTGTGAAAAATTCAATGGCTGAGGCTCTACACCAGGGTTTCTTTGCAATGTGGAATTACGGGCTGACCCTTGCGATGAATGGCAGCCTTGTACCATATGTACAAACATCGCCAGCTTCCCATTTTATTGTATTTATGGTTTATCTTTGTTTGGTTTTAATCTGTATTGGTTTAATCTGTACTGGTTTAATACTGTTTTGGCGGGGAGGGTATAGGCCAGGGGTTGATTGTATTGGTATTTTAACATGTTGTTAGCTGCCCTGATTGCTCTCAGAGGGGTGGGATAAAAATAAAAATTATTATTATTATTATTATTATTATTATTATTTACAAATAGATGTGTAACGGATTGCAAAATGGAATGCACAAGGAGCAATGTGCATTGCGTATCTCTGGGCACAATGTTGGCTTCTTATTCCTTCTGAACAGCCTTCTTGTGTTGCTCCACAATTGAAAACTTTTCCAAAAAGGCACTTATCTTCGAGGATGATTGGCATCAAATAGCCAATGGCACCAACGCGTGTGGCTCTGCTCCTGAGACCTTGAACTCAATGCAAAGGACCCACAGGAGACAGAAATGTCCGGCCGCTCTTGTAGGGGCCAAGCTGGGAATCGGACCCTGGTCCAAGAGGCAAAGCACTACGCCACGCTGGCCGCAAGCCATGGACCCGGGGCATTTCTGGCAAATCCTCTCTCTCAGTCACGCAAGAAGAGAAGGCCTGCAGATTTGCCTGTGTGCAAAATCAGTCCTTACGAGAAGAGTCCCAATTTGCTCCAAGCGCAGTCTTGACCGTTGCATTCGTCAAGCGGCCGCACTCTTGTTTTCAGGTTAAATCCCATCTGTCTCATCCTGTTAATGGAAGCTGACCTTCCAATCTGGACCCTTCCAGGAGCTCCAAGCATTTGGAGGCCCAGCCGGGTGGGACCCCAGAAGTTCCAGAAGTTTAAAAAGTGGTAATGTCACATTTGTTATGGTCACTTGATATATTTATCATCTATAACTCCAGACCCCCCCCTTTTTTAAAAAAATATATATTCTCAAAGCAGTTGCCACTGTCAGAGCAACAATCTTAAAATGCAAAGGTGGTTTTCTTTTAAAAAGAAAAGAAAGAAAGAAACTGCCAGTTTAAAACAATTTGAAACATTTAGTCTGACATTTAAAGCATTCATGCCAGACAAATAAGGAGGAAAAGTTGAAAATTTCAGCACGAAGGCTTCATGCTGGCTTCTCAACTGGATGGAGCATGAAATTTTGAAGGGCCTTAAGGATCCTTTTGATATTAGATGAAATAGCTTTTAATATTTCACAGATGAAAACTGAAGCACATGTGGCTAGGCAACATCAGAGGGTGGTCAAGATGGCCAAAGTTATGAATGAAAGGAACGGACAGGTTAGGAGAGGCCACCGCAGTTTGCTTTTGCCTCAACCAACTGGGAAGGACAAGATTTCACCCCCTTTTCTCCTCTCCCTCTCTCCCAAATTAAATGACTGCCTTTTGAATGTTGAACGTAGTTTGCAGAAAAGTACAGAGTCATCCAAAATCCACCAAACAGTGATACCTTTATTGGGCCAACCAAAATGCACAAAATACACATTGCAAGCTTTTGAAGTTCCACTGGCTTCTTCAAAGGTTTTTAAAATAATACAAGAGAAAGAAAGAAAAATTGACGATGTTAGTCCTAGCCTTGCGTTTGGTCCAGATGTTGCAGTTGTGGTCCTCAGTTCAGATGGTTTGGAAAGCAGATGAAGAAGCCAGTGCAGCTGCAAAAGCTTGCAACACATACAATGCGCATTTTGGTTGGCCCAATAAAGGCATCACTGTTTGGTGGATTTTTGACGATGCTGTACTTTGCTATATGGCCAATGGGGCTACCCCTGCCCTTGGGTTAGTTTGCAGCAATTGAAGCCATCTGATGATAAAATGGAGAGGAAAAGAATAGACTCATCTGAGTTGTAGTTCTGGAGACAAATTCTATGGATAAAGCGGACAAATAAAAAGATGAATAAAGGTGTCTGAGAGCAAATTAAGCCTGGACTCTCCCCAGAAAGAAGCCAAGGTGACTAAACTGGGGCAGTCATATTTGGCTGCTCATGTGAAGACGTGACTCATTGGGAAAGAGGTTAATGTTGGTAAAGCAGAAGGCAGGAGGAAAAGAAAAGAGGGAGGCCATGTTGCAAGTGGATGGACGCCATCAAGGATGCCCTGGATCTGCAAGACCTGAGCAGGACAGTGGTGACCAACCTGATGGCAAATAGCAACAAACCCCAGAGTTACAGATGTGTAACTGCCCTGTAACAAAGGGGCTAGTAGTAGCCTCACAACAGAGTGGAGACAAACTGGATCTCCACGGCAGCAGCTTTTGGTCTTGCTAATGGAACTTAAAGTTTATTTCCTGGACTGAATCTCCCAGCATCCACATGGCCAGAAGGAGGAGGAAGGACCCACCTGCGTGAATAACCCTCCATACCTTCTGAACTGAGGACAACAACAACAGTATCTGGACCAAATGCAGGCCTAGGATTAACATCATCAATCCCCCCCTTCTTTCTCCTGTATCATTTGTAACACCTTGACCTGATGAAGATGCCAGTGGAGCCTTGACAGCTTGCATCGTAGAAACATGGAGCCCAAGGGGCCACCCAGTCCAAACCCCTTCTGCCATGCAGGAACTCACTGTGACACTTGGCCACCCAGCCTCTGTTTAAAAACCTCCAAAGAAGGAGACTCCATCATCCTCCATTGAGGCAGCAGCATCTTCCTCTTACCATCAGTTCCTCAGGAGCTTCTTCCTAATGTTGAGGTGGAATCTCTTTTCCTGTAGACTCCATCCATTGTCCCAAGTCCTGTTCTCTGGAGCAGCAGAAAACAAGCTTGCTCCATACGCAAGATGGCATTTCTTCAAATACTTAAACAGGGCAATCATATCACTTCTTAACCATCTCTTCTCCAGGCTAAACATGTCTCTCTCATAGGGCTTCATGGTTTCCAGACCCTTCACCATTTTGGTCGCCCACCTCTGGACACGCTCCACAGTGGTACTATTACTTCCTTCATTCTGGACATTATACTTCTCTTGATGCAGTCTTGAATCACATTGGCCTTTTTAGCTGCCGCTTCACACTGTTGACTCATGTTCACATGCAAAGCATCCCCGACAGGTAGATATAGGGTCTTTGCAAACTGCCAGAAATAGTGCACATTAAATTGAGGCACTGCCCTGGCTCAGTGCTAGGGAATCATGGGAACTGTAATTTTTTCTGAGACATTGAGCCTTCTCTGTCAGAGAGCTCTGGTGCCACAATAAATTACAGTTCCCATGATTCCCTAGCACTGAGCCAGGGCAGTGCCTCCATTTAATGTGCACTATTTCTGGCAGTCTGCAAAGGCCTATAGCAGGGGTAGGCAACCTTTCCCCTTTAAGGGCCGAGGGACTTCAGCTCCCAGAATCCCAGGAGCTATTGGACAACATGGGACTATTGGCCAACATGGCTGAGGCTTCTGGGAGCTGAAGTCCCTCGGCCCTTAAAGGGGAAAGGTTACCTACCTCTGGCCTATAGTCTCATTAAGCCAGGTGTTCCCCATCCTATATCAATGCATTAGAAAGATACACACACACACCCCTAAAAAATCTATGCATTAGACCACCACAAAACAGCTGTTCTGGAGGCACAGAAACACCCCTAATTTCCCATTGCAAAGAGACAAATCAACACTTTCTGGAAGGCAAATGTTGGGGGACTCTCAGGGGAAAATCAATGGTCTCAGTTTGTAGCTGTTGACCTCTCCCTTGGTCTGCCATGACAGAAGGACACATCCACCTGTGTGAATGGTTCCATGGTCTCACTCCCCTCTGTAGGTTTGCAGAGCTCATGTCTGTAGAAATCTGAAAGGCTGAGATCCCACGTCCAAGAGCTGGAGCGTGACTTTATGCCCAGCAAGTTGTGCAATGGTTTCACGTTGCTACCTTATTAGTAAATTGCAATGCTATAAGAATGAATGTGCAGACAAGGTCCATGTTCATCTGCACGCCCAGGGCACACCATGAGTTGTTCACAAACATGTGCCATGAAAATGGGTATGCGTGCCCATTGTCAGAGTCCATGCCCATGGTTCTGCCATGATCGGTGTGGTTTATGGGAAAGGACTATGTGTCGACTATAGAAGGATATTGAATACTGAAATGCATGCATGAATCATGTATGGGCTCTGGGCAGAGGAAATAGAAGGAGTGGGCAAATGGTGTGTGTGTGTGTGTGTGTGGGAGGCAAATGTTAAACAGGGTGGAGGGATTTATGGCTTTATGACCCTGTCATTCCTGCAGCAATCCTGGGATGCAGAGGAAGAAGGGACT